TAGTACTAATTAACACTAATGAATTTTAAGATAATTTTTACATCGATCGATAGGTATGACTCAGCTCAACCTACCTGTGAAATATCCCTTTTTTTTGGTGAAAAAATAGCTGCAGAGCTTCAAGAATCCTGAAAAACTTTTTTATCCTGTTATAATTTCTCTATGAGGATAAGGCTACGGCTTGTTCTATTAAGAGATGAGACAATGGATAGAGTTGAAGTATAAAGTGCAGTCTCACATCAAATCTCATTTGCAAAGCTTACCCATAGAAACAGATTGATCAGGTGCTTTCACACTGTGTGATGGATTTAAATAAAGATTTTTCATAATAATTGTCTAGAAACAAAAATAAAATAGAATTTAGATTATTCTTTTTTACTTTATTATGACTAATATACTTGACTAAACGTAGGTTTATTATGTACACGTGAACATCTTTCACCGTGTCTACATGCACCAATTTTGAAATAAAATGAGCAATTAACTCTAAAAACACAAAACAAAAGAGATTTAAAAATCAGCGGAGTACCTCTCAAGACTACCATAACATACTTATCTTTTTCTGTACCAAATATAGAAGCTAAATATTCAGCCATTGACAATACACGTTCAAGGACAAAATAGCTTAAATCTAATTTGACAAAAAAAGAACACTCTAAAATATGAATAGTTAAAACAATGATGAAAGTAAATCGTGACGAAGAAGTAACTCTGGTTAGTAAACTGCGCAATGGTAAACTTTGTGCACATTAGATAGCAGAAATCAAATTAATCATAAAACTTAAAAGTCAATGCATATGAACTGTACGATGGGTGCATCTGCATTCTTCTAGGAAAAAGAGCCATTTTTCTTAGCTGATGAGGGAAAAATGAGCTATTTTAGTAAAACAAACGTAACAAAGACATTCGCTTCAATCTAACTAAATTAAAAGAAATTTTTTGCTACAAAATTTAATTGATTTTTGCTCATTATTAGAACAAATTTTTGTCAATTTCTAAGATTACTACAATAAAGACGATTCTAGAGGTAGAGAGAGAGAGACGTCAATCAATTTGAGCGCTTTTCTTATCATCAGTTTTCTGAAAGTGAAACGTTAGGGACCTATCTCTCGATTTTAGACGATAATCTGTAGTTCTTTTATTTTTTATTAATTCAAGTGATGTTTTTCAACAATTAATCGATTCTTTCGTTTGATCATTTTTATTATTTTTCTTTTGTAACTTGTTTTTCTTACTTTTAACAAATCGTTTATACATATACTACAGCACAATAAATTTCTCTTTTGACAACGGGCGTCAAAAGAGCAAAAAATAAAAAGAAAATATACTTTTCACTTGGTTCAAAAACGCTTTTTGTTAACTTTTTCCTTTTATAAAATGTAGAAGAGGAAAAATGGCACTTTTCTTCTTCATCAAGTTTTCAAAAATTAAATACTGTTGCCGAAAGAACAAACAATACATAAATAATTTGTACATTTAAAATGTGAACAATTCAATCTCAAGTGAAAAAATTCGTTCTTTTTAATGTGTGTTTGTTAACAACACTATAGTTATTCGAATAACAACATAAATAGGTGTGTGTTTTTAGGATGTTTTTGAAATAATTATTTAACTGCCGATTAACAAAGATGTTTTTTTTCAATATCAGTGGACAGGAGAACCGTATATGATACTTGTTCAGAAAAAGACGATGAATAGAAATAAACATTAGTTTCAATAGGTTTGTTTTATTCAAAGATAGATCTACTAAATCTACACTTAAACAAGAGGTTCTATACGATACCAAAACATCCATGTGCAAGTAATGCATAAATCTTATCAAATTTACATAAAAATTTATGTTTTTAGATTCTACTTCTCTTTCTATCAACGTTCATACATCTTCGACCTTTAAAAACTAGTTTTCCACATAAGTTATGCGTATACCAATTATAACACAAAATTTTACATCAGCCCATCAAGATGGTACGCCTGATTTGTATAGTATACAGCCGCTCATGTTACTACCACAATCTCAACAGCCAATGTTAGATGAACAACAAAATGGTTTCAATAATTTATTTTTACATGATTTAAATCGACATCGTAATACGTATATACGTAGTTATAATGCTTACGAAGCAATTAAGAAACGTCATGATTTTGTTTTACGAAAAGAAAATTTAAAATCATTATATCGTTTCGAAGATCGTCTTGAACGAAAACAAGAACAATACATCGATCAATCATTACACGCCTATGAACAATGTTTTGTCAAAGTAATTAGTAATAATCCATACAGTTCAATTATCGGACAACGTCCTCGAACAGCCATACCTATACAACCTCAATCACAACTACCACCGGCATTTGACAAATTCCATGCACATTACTTGACACATTCAACTCCACTTATGAAGATCGAACAAGATTCAAATCCTCAACAACCGCACACGGCACTACCTCAACAGCAAGGTTCTCATCGTTATCAGAAAAACAATTGGCCAAAATCTAAACAGACAAATGGTATTTATAGAACAGCACAATCATTTCACGATGCTTGTTTGCAGCAGCAGCAGAAGCAGCAACAACAACAGCCTTTCGTACAAAAGTCTAACGAATTTCTTTCATTTACAGAAAGTTATTTACAAAAATTTGGCAATAGTTTCTTAAATGAAAAGCAACCACCATCGACGATTGTCGGGCAGAAACCATACGAAAACGAACGTCGAAGACCATTATCGGCAGCTCCAAGTCTAGGAAGTGCTGCAACTGTCGACATAGCAAAAAAAGAACAGCAGCCACCGGAACCGCCCACTGTAACTATCAAAACAACAATACAGCAACGATCAAAAGCACCACAATCTTCACCGGTTCATGGTTACAATGATGCTGTTAGGGATGGAGCTCTATTGCGAAGTAAGTGAATTAAAAGTAACAAATAATTCTTTGATTAACAAGAGATCTTTATGTTCGAGTCACACTCTAAGGAAAAAATTATGCTAAAGATCACATCTTGACGTCCGCAATTACGTAGAATCAGAAATGTAGCCGAGTTCTCAAAAAATAACACAAGCACTCTACTATTTGGCCTGCTAACATCTAAACGTTTCTTTTTACACTTATTTTATCACTACTATCTACTAAAGTGGATTTTCATGGCAAAACAACAGCTAGTGTTGATACTTAAAGCATGCCTCTGATACAAGGCACTATCTTCGTCTTTTGCAGATGATTCCGACGACGACCCGAAAGTCAAACGAAAGCAATCTTCAAAACGTTTAAAAAATGGAAATACAAAACAAGTAGTAGTAAATCTGACAACAGCTAACAATAAAAAATCGACTATCGTCACAACGTCAATAACGGACAACGGCGATATTCTAAAAGACGCCATGTTTGTCCAAAATTATAATGAACCAATGCCAACGCCAACGCCGGCACCATCTACTATTGAGTCCCAAACGAAATCCACGATAAAATTATATAAAAAGTCCTCGCCATCCTCATCCATTGTTAACAGACGAAGATCATCTGTATCTTCAAGTAATAATAAACTGTCAGCATCACCTGTACCATCGCAAATGGTTGAGACAGAAGTGCCAGTTACTGAGAAAGAACCAGACGATCTAGTGATTAAATCAATAGAACAAGAACAAGTCGTGAACGAAGAAAAAGACGACGAGCTTGAAGCAATCAATACGGATCCTAACACAAATATACTAAAACAATTACCATTACCGAATAAGCGAATAAAAATAAGCGCTTTTGATAATAATAGTGAAGCAATGAACGATTTGGTGATTTTTGACCTTGGCTTAGGGAGTGGTAAACATAAACAAAGTCGAAAAAGTCCAGCAGAGGAAGAGGACAAAATAACTAGAGAGAATGATAAAGGAACAATGGATTTACTGGAAAAGATTAAACAAGGAACAAACCCATTACTATTAGGACAAATGGCATTATCACAACAGGTGAGCCACTTTCTACGAAATAAGATGGCCTTCCCACTATAGATCTTTTTCTGTATACTCTCTTCATGATAGTATAAGATTAGCATTAAAACGATCGTTGAGTGTCTAATATCTAGAAATTTAAAAGAACAGCACTCACGAGGGAACTTTCGAGATGTCTCCTTCCGATTCCAATGATTTGCACATGGATCGATAGACCTCAGTCAGGTAGTAAATACCCTAGAAGGATTCGTACCCATGCCTCTTGAAGACCCGGGTTTCTGGAAAATCAGTTTTTCAAGATCTCTAAAAAATAACCCAAACCATTTTTAATGAGGCGTGATTGTAGCCCGTAAAGTTCTGATTAAAATGAGATATCTCTCAGCTCTACACGACCTTTCTTTGCAAAGTTATAGAATTTACAAGAAAAGCCCTAAATTAATTTCTTATTTCTGCAGCTTTGAGCTGAGAATGAACATTTAGGGCTTTTCTTGTAAATTCTATAACTTTGCAAAGAAAGGTCGTGTAGAGCAGGGAGATGTCTCATTTTAATCAGAAATTTGCGAACTACAATCATGCCTTATTAAAAAAGGTTTTGATCCTTTTAGGGTATTTACTACCTCACTGAGGTCTATCGATTCATGTACAAATCATTGAAATCGGAAGGTGACACTTCGAAAGGCTCCGTTGCCAGTTGCTTCAACTCTCCTCTAACGTTAATTTAAAAAATATCCACTTTAACCTGTTCTACGAGGATGAATGTTTAAAATTGACTAAACAATGGAATCATTTAATTATTTAAAATGCCATTCATTATTTAACAAAATTTCATGTCTAAAACAAAAGCAAAAAGAGCACTTATTATTGTAACAGCCATCTAACAAAAAGGATTATACTCAAACTTTAACAAAGCAGAAAGACAGTATACTAAAAATTTTCATTTTCGCTTCGTCTTTTACAGTACAAATGTCAAAAAACTGGTAGGGATTTAACCCTGTCAAAGAAGATAGAAAAAAAACTGACTCATATGATGAAGATTCTAAATCTTTTTTAGGGTTGTCGATTTGAATTACCCTACGATTTGAAACAGTTAGAAAAACTAAAACCAACTGAATATTTGAGTCGATATTGTCGTTTGTCATCACGACGACAGTATTTATTTCGTCGAATATTTGATAAATTTCGTAATAGTAATTATCGCATGGAAGTCAACCATCTTTATAATGCAATCAAAGATATACACACGAATAATTTTAAACAAGAACAGTGGGATAAACTATTGGAATTAATTGATTTACAAGAAGAAAAACAATTAATATTTGATACATTTGCGGGTATTGCTGCTCTATATGAACGTTTGCTATATAACGAGCAAAGAACAGATACACATGATACAAATGATTTTCATAAAGATACAATAGAAATATGTGATTTTGAAAGTTTAGATAGAAAGTTAGATGGATTAGACATTCCAAATGTTATTAGACAATTACTTAATGCACTTTAACATTAAACTCAGAAAAACATCAACGTATTTGTCTTTAGTCAATATCCAGATAGAATAAATAATAATCAAGTGTGAAGTTTCCAAAACCAGCGGTGTCCCTTTTGTAGAAAAAAATTAGTATTTGTCAAGATTGACGATTTGTAAACGCAAACTGAAGACAAAATTACTGAGCGGATAAAAAGTGTATATATAACAAACAATTTTTGAATTTCATTTTTGAAGATGAATTGTCCAACTATGCAACTGAATAAATCAGTAAAACATCAACCATAATCATGGATTTCTCAACAAACCTCAACCAATGAGAAAAAAACGAATCGGTAGAACTGTTTATGCATTCAATAAGAACTGAGAGACCAAACAATACTATTGTAAAAAGTATTATTCATAAAATTTAGATTAAATCACTTCGTTTTAATTATGTTTTAGATAGAGCCTTCCCTCATTGTTTTCGATGACAGTCTGTCGCTGTTTGTACGCGGACATCTTTACTTCCCAAATCATCGTACGTCTTTACATGCTATGCGTTTTCGCAAGGTATCCATTAAGAATTTAGAAGTTCTGGAGGGTGTTTCATAAAAATTCTTAAGTGCTCGACATAACTATGTCTAGACTTAAGTCAGACTTAAGTGTTTAAAATTAACACGCAAGGGTACAAAACGGAGACTTAGGTATGACTTAAGTCAAGCACTTAAAAATTTCTATAAAACACCCTCATGAAAAATACAACATTCTCGACATTTCCTCTAGGTGAGGACTACTCTTATTTTAACTCCTTTTTCGCTCAACAGTACCAGACCCAAAAAACTTTATGAGGCTATGTCTGCTGATCAGAAAAACATCCTTGAACATGGATAGAGTTAAATTTACATTTTTGAGGTATGATTTTCAGTAATTTCTGGGAGTATTAGCTAATAGAATAAACGGGGAATCGGAAACTGGTCAACTGAGACTTTCGTCACCTACACGTTCGTCATTGACCAAAGTTTTGTCTGACTTTTGTCAATTGACCGAAGTTTTGTCTGACTTTCGTCAGCTGACCAAAATTCACCTTACTTCGATCACTGATGAGACTGTGTTGTACCTTCGAGAGTTGACTCAAATTTGTCGGAAAATAGTACCTTTTTCGACTTTGTCGAAGATCTGTTCCGACTGTCCACTTATCACGTGACTGTAGATGACCCACGTAAAGTTGTCATCAACAGTTTATTTTTTGTTGCTATCGTTTTTTGGCTTGCCAACTTTATCGCCAACCAGAAACGAGAGTGGATGAATTGTTGCTGCCAATGTTTCTTTTTCGATTTTAATAATGCATGAAGACATTTGATTTGCAGGAAACTATGAAAAGCACACTTAGATATATATATAGATATTTATGAGACGAGAAGATAAAGCGGGCAATGACACAATATCTACTTTATATAGAGAACAATGGCAAACTCAAACAAAACTTTGGTCAACGACGAAAGTATAGGTGACGAAAGTCTCAGTTGACCAGTTTCCGGTAACTCGAATAAACTAAAGACATACGAAACTCAGGAAATGACTCTGTCCGGTCATTCGCTAAACACCAGAGTTGACTCATCTACGTTCGACTATTAGCGCATAATAGTCGAAATAAAAAAGTAATAATTGAATGTTTGAATGAAACATAATATCAGCAAGAAGATTGCTGCGATTTTGTACGGGTAAATGAGAAAAGAACAGATTTTACAGCCTTCCTCTATAGGCTGAAGGGAGTGCCGTAGTCTGAGATATTTTCCAATTTTATTTTGCAATTGATGTCAGTGCTAATGTTTCTCAACACGTTGTTGTTGTGTATAGAAAATGTTGTCAATAGGATATCATTAAGACAACATGATTACGACAAAACAAGGAAAAAACTGTGTTTTTGAGTTATTATATGAAATTGATTTACGGAGTATTATTTTAAATGACCATATATTCGCTATGAGGTTATCACTTTCTACAATAGAGTTATCTAGTCCTGTTTTATATTATCCTACGTTTTATTCCAGAGTACTGAATTAAACAAATGGAATCTCATGTTTTCTCACCACTGTTCTTTTATATTGCACAGAAAACATCGGAAAATTAAAAAAAACAAAGTATAATAAAAGCAGTAATAAAATAGTGTAGTGGCAGATGACAAAGAAATGTTTAATTACATACACATACAAAAGGACTACTCTTATCGATTGAATAAGAAAATAAAATAAACTCATATTATCTCACATTTACAAATATTATTAAGGCTTAACGAGATAGCAGAAGGAGCGAACCAAATAGAAAGCATTTTTTTTAAATAAATATGTAAAAAAAAATATATAATAATCAGATAAAGTATATTGGAATGTTAATGGAAATGAAAAAATTATTCACATTTGATATATTATGTCCAATCTTCCTCATCACTTTGACGTACGTCTTCTTCAGGCGGCACTATATAAAAGATTATTGAATATTTATTAATAATAAAATTGTTTTATGACTTTCAGGCTTACTTATTTGATTTCTTCTAGTTTTAAGTATCTCCACAATGTTGTTTGTTAAAGCATCCATACCATGGGCATCACTGGAAGGAGCTATCGATGTTGTATGTAAATTCGATACACTTTGCTTCGATTGTTGTTCTGTTCTCTAAAAAAAAACAGAGAATGACGAAAAATAAAACTGACATGCATCTTACTCGCAAATTCTTTTTCACTTACTTGTAATCGTTTTTTGTCAAAAGTTTGGATAGCAGACAGTAGTGACTCGGGTTTTCGAGTATTTGTCGCCTCTATTGTTGTTGAGGTTAAAGCCGATATCTTTTCTGATGATGGTGGCGGTGGAGCGGGTATTACACTGTTGGATTGATTATTGAAAGAAGATGAGTGCAGGTTCATTGTTGAAGGTAGTCTAAATAGAAAGAAAATCTTATAGTAACAATGCTGTAGCTTGATTTTGATTGAAACTAAATGACTACTTACGGCGGTGCTGGAGGAAGTGGACGGGAAAAATGGTTACTAAACAAAAATAAAAAGATTAGCACATTGACAGAAATAATGTCATCTAAAGATCATTATCATCAATCATTTGATTTTGCTAGGAATCAATACTATTAATTCACTTTTGTATGAACGGGATGATTGTATGAAGGAAACATTTTTTACAAACCTTGTGTTATTAATCACTGATGGTGAAACATGATCCGACTGAGTTGTCATTTCATTTGTTTGAGAAAAAAACGATGGTGGAGGTGGAGGCAGTGGTATGTTTGGTACAACAGTTTGTTTTTCTGGCGATGTATTTGTTACTGTTGATGGGCGTCCGGGTCTGGATGGTATGTCGGGAGCTGCTTGCTGTGGATGATTGAATAAATCGGTTAATGGTGTGCGTGCTTGCCTTACGTCAACCGATGAAGATGGTTCAGTACGAACAATTTGCATTCTTTGTGGAATAGCAGGAGCATCGGATTGATGTGATGCTGATTTGGATTCTAGGATAGAAGTATACAATAATAATGCATAAAAGTCATTAAATTTCTAAACTAAACAACGCACTTGTAAGCTGTTCTGTTCCTCCTGTAGCATCCATATACTCTTTTATTTCCTTTTTTTCTGCGTCTGTGATATCGGGTATTAATTTTTCGATTGTACCATGTATATATTGATCAAATAGTTGAGCTTGTTCGTCGTTGGCAAAAAACGTCTATAATAACACAAAAGATTATTTATTTTCAAATGATAAAAGAAAAAACATGAGTAACCCACTTGATTTGCAATCACATCAACATGTCCACGGTGTTCGAAACTTGAAAAAAAAATGCTTTTTATGAAAAAGTTAAAATAAAATATTTAAAGACTTTTAATTTCAAGATTTTTCCCACAAAATCGAAAACCAAAACAAACATGTATGCTCAAAAACCAAACTTATTTACTAATCCTGCTTCTAACATAGCAAACATAAACAAATCGATACATACAAAGATGGTTCTGATATTTCTAATTTGGCGACTTTGTTTCTTCTTGTTATTGTATCAAAAAACAAGCTGGCTTTAGACTCTGAAAAAGAAGAAAACTGTTTCAAACTTTGTCATTTGTTCTGTAAAAGTAAGAAAAACATTACTTTTAGTTAACGTAGCGTTTGTAGAAGTTTTGGATTCTACAATATTTGTGGATGTCAGCGGAAGTGTTAATAGCTGCGATTGTTGCTGTGGAATTTGTGGTGTTGGAGGATGCAACTTGGTAGAAGCTTGAGATTTTTTTTTTCCTACAAGGATAAATTTTCAAAGATGAAAAGAAAATATTAACGATTTTCTTTTGTACTCTGTCGATCTTGTTGTTTAATTAGAAATTGTTCAAAAAATAAATTAGCTTCGTTGTCGTTCGCAAAATTAATACCGACTTTTGAGTTCTAAAAAATAGAAAAATATATCTCAGTTTATTCTTGTTAGAATGTAAATGCTTACCGATCCATCAAACCAAAAAAAACGTGGCAATATTTTTTGTAAATTAAGTGACGCAGCTACAGTTTCTTCAAAAATATGACGCCTTTGCTAAAAATAAATAAATTAAATATACGGGATAAATAAACTTTCGGCAATACTTTTAAGTCGTATAAACGAAAACAATACGTTCGTTGATCATAATCTTTAACAAAACAAAATACGCCACAGGCATATTTAAGCCAACGGGTTTGATGAGGTTGTTCTGGTAACAGAATTTGGACTACAGCTGTTGCTAATGTCTAATATAAGAGATCAAAAGAAAAAATTGATGTAAAAAACTGTAGATTCTATGATTGTTACTGTCTAAACATACTACTCCATTTTGTCCAAGTATATTATATAAATCTTGGTTTTCTGATTTTGTTAACATTTTCGAGTCTTGATGTGCTGGTCGAAGACGTAACGGTTCATGAGTGTTCGGATGATTATTCATCTACAAGGAAGAATAAGAAAGAAAACTTGACTAAACATAGTAAATGCGCATATATCGATAATGAGGATCTTCTGTCTCTATACTACTTCATTTTACATAGGTAAAGCAATATTTCCTTTGAGAAGAAACATTTGCTGTTGCCTGTAGGAAGCGAGTCGATTCCCACATGTTCCACCAATGATTACGATAGTCTTAATGAAGTCATAATAAATGTATTATAATCTCAACACAACTACAGAGCTGTGTAACAAGAGAGAATATGTTATGATTAGAATTAGAAAAAGCAAACGAGATATTATCTGGAAAGGGTCTCAAAGTTCTGTGAGTCATTATTATTTTTCTGCCGCTCATCTGTACGTATACATTAGATGACTGTATACGTCTTGTTATTGGGAAGGGTTGGCTCCCATAAACATGTCAGCAGCGATGAATCATATCCTGAAATCAATTTTTTTTCCTTTATCTTTTACGTTATACACTGTTAAAAAACCGCACGCTTTAACCATTCCAATCTGACGGTTTAACCGTCAAATAACCGGACTCTTAAAACGTCAGGTTATGAATCATCCTTTAAAATACAAATTCAACGACGTTTTATCCGTTCCAACCTGACGATTTTTGATGCTTTTTCCGTCAGGTTGCGCAACCCGACGGAAAAAAAGTCAGGTCGGATGAGTCATCTACGCCTGAATAAACAAAAAAAACCGACGCTTAAACCGTCAGGTAATGCAACCTGACGGTTTAAGCGTCGGATTTTTCTCATCGAATGTTTTAAAATGAATTATTCTTTCTATGTCTAATATTTTATCATTAACTTCACAGAAGCAAAGACTGGAACTAAAATTTGATTTTTCAAGTAAAATGCATAGAAACTTAGCAGTAGAAGTAATGTGTTGCATACTGCCCCAAGGAAGGTTGTTAATCACAACCTAAATGTTCAAAGAAATCAGATGCAAAACAGAAGAATTTATCACCTTAATCGTCAAGTAGGAATGATCGCTTTCCACATTTTGTAATTCTCGGATTAGTTCGCGGCACCCAAGAAAGAATAGCAACCTGTCGAATCAGTGTTTTTAATACAATTTTTTCCAGAGTGGAACTTTGCACTTTGCTATTAGCGTTAAACTGGATTTTTCCACTTTGATACGAAACGTAAAGTGGACAAAATGGGAACAGTTGAAAATTTTGTCCAGTAGCGGCTAGAAGAGATTTTTTCTTCCTAATATCCTGTTGTTGTTAATCGTCAGACACTAGTGGTGTCGGATCGTGATAAATTTAGAGGATTAAAGAGAAATTATACTAGTTCTCTCGTTCACATTTGTTCAACAAACAGTTATCGATGGGTTACTTTTCTGAGGCAGAAAATATGTAAAAAAAGACAAAGAGAAAATTCTCAAATGAAAAGTAGAAAACAAAGTGGGGTGTACTTGTCTCAGCGTGGGAAACAGAATGGAAATTCATTATTCAAAATGGAAACCCATTTTTTTCTGGCTTGTCCCATTAATCTTAACCCATCATTAAAGCACTGTGCCGAATCGTCAATCTTTAGAGTACACATGTCATAGAATAACCTGAATGTCACAAGGTAAAATGTGAGGAAACCGCTGGTTCTTTTGTAACGAGTTCACATGATCTTACACGCTTGCACACAGATATTCTTGCAAGTCCCGATTGACAAACAAATCAGAGTATAAACTTCTGTATTTTTATTACAACAACGTTAATGTTGTGAATATAATTTTTATAAAGAAAACAATAGAACAAGAAAAAATAAACAAATATTTCAGGAAAAACATCAATAATTAGATAAGTATTAAATATTTTAGATTAAATAGAGATTCTTATTAGAAACTCTTTGTCGTTCTCAGTTTTTTCAAGAAATTCGTCGTTTTTGAGCTAAATACATTATTATGGGAAAGACAGCATCGCTGTGAAATGTAAAATATTTTTATTTCAATAACAACTGATTTCTTCAAAAAAATCGAGAGCCTTCCTTCAATCATTCTTTAGAAAAGTATGCCTTTTCAAACCCTACCCACTGGCTATTTCATTCCCAAATACAAAATCATACAGAAGTTTGAAACGTTCCAACCTGACGTTTTTTGTAACTGAACGGTTAAAACGTCATGTGGATCTGACGTTTTAAGCGTCAGGTTGGAAAAAGTGTCAGGTTAGAACGGTTAAAGTGTCGGGTTAGAATGGATAAAACGTCAGGTTAGCACAGTTTAAACGTGCGACTTTTTTACAGTGTAAAATTTCATCATATTATTCATAAACCAATTTTTGTAATTGGTCGATGTTCACAAAATTAGACAGTGCGTACGAATAGTATTAAAGATGGCAGCAATCACCATGGTTTGATTCTTAAAAGAAAGCAGAGTATTGAAACTATGCGCGTGCAACTATTTCAAAATGAAAAATGGGTAAGTGGATTTATTTCATCAATATCAGAGAGCTCTTAAACTTAAGTGAACGTTACGTGTGCACACTCGACTTAATCTTAGCTAAGGATTGTGGATTGACTTCAAACTTATCTTACTTAACCATAGTGGATGCGCTCGTTCTATGGTATCGAACAGATATACTGTTATGCATAATACTACGAGTATTTAAGAAATTTTGGATAATTGGCTGCTTTGATATAGGTTTCAGGTGCTCGTCTAAGTATTATGATGGAGACTATTTTTCAGTATTTGGATACCTAATATACTTTGGGTATCTGATAACATATTTTCACATATTCGAAGTAATTTTGAATTAATTATCTTTGACTGTGTTCACACTATAAGATTTAACCAAGGATTAGTCTTGCTTTTGATTGATGTTTTTAAGTATTAATACTAATCAGAGGTCGAGAATTTCAACTAAATCTTGTAGTATGAACATGGCCTTTACATTTCCGATTCCATCACCTTATCAGTCTCACCATTTTTTTAATATTTATCAATAAATAAAACTAAACCACTTATCTTTAAATAGACAGTGATTATCGTAGAGACAACTCGATCATATACATTTTAGAGGGATCATGTGCGTATTAATGAAATTTTTTTATTAGTTTTCAACAATAAATGGTACTTATATAAGTCCATAAACACGCATGGATTGTGTTTATAACGAGAATGCAGTTCTGGATGAGAATGAGTGCGGTGTCTCTTATCCAAAAGTTCAAGTAATTAGTTTCTTCTACTATTATTGTATTATGAGTGTATTCTGGGAAAATATTTTATTAGACTTAGAATTACAACTAAAATTTTTTTAAGTTCATCGGTTTCATAATGACAATAGAAATCACCTGTTTTTTACATTGAATTCTCAATAAAACAATAGAATGGACGGAAAATACTTAAAAAAACCTCTATGTTAGAATGTTTTTATCTTCGTTGTAATTGTATCCAAATGCCAAATTTGGGTGATATGACAAACACCTCATGTTCTTTGAAATGACTTAGCGTTTTTTCACCGGATAAAACTGTATAACATTTCAAGATTTTGATTAATGTTAGTTTTATTTCCATCATAGCAAATCGTAAACCAATACAATTACGCGGTCCAATACCAAAAGGTAACCATGCAGCAGGATGACGTTTTGTCTTAAATCTTTCTGGATAGAAAATATTCGGATCTGTTGGACCCCATAGCACGGGATCATAATGAACACTGAACATATCAATGATAAAATTCATTCCATGTTTTATTTGCATACCGTTGATCGTACAATCATCATTACATTTTCGATTGACAATAAATGGTGCTATAGGATACATTCTTAATGTTTCACGTATAAACATATCCAAATATTCTAATTTATTGATATTCTCATAATTGAAATCTGATGTTAAATTATGTTCAATTTCATTTTGTAATATTTTTTGTTCGTGTTGATGTGTTGCTAGTACGTAACATAAATAAGAGAGTGCTGTTGAACTTGTTTCATAACCAGCCAACATAAATAAATAAATATTCATCAGTAACTCAGAATAACTCAATGTTCTAGCTGACTGGGATACTTCCTAAAACAAACATAACAATAAAGTATGTATCAATATTTTCCATTTAACACGAAAGAACATCCTTATGACTTTCATTCTATCTTCGATGATTTTAGTATGAAGCTTACGTTAGAAGGAGACGATAAATTTGCTGATTCATGAAACGAACTTGCATCTAGCATTAACTGTAATAAATCGATTCTTTTATTTTCACTTTGTTGACGTTTTTTAATAACATTTTCAACTTTACTTTGTAACCACATATTGGGATCTACATCAATCAAATATTCCATGAATGGAATATTATCTCTTATCCATAATAAAAAAAAATTACAGTAACGAAAGATGTTAACCCATACGATGTTGAATTCAGGAAAAAGCGTGGATAAAAATGTTAATATCATTTGAATTAAATTAAATTTAAATACTTGTGCACACCGTTGAAAATAGGGATCAGTGATGTTATTTTGAATATCACTTTCAATTCCGAAAGCACAATTGAAAATAATGTCTAACGTTGTACGCTTTAATAATAGACCTATATCAAATTCCATTTGTTTTTCACACAGTTCATCTAATTTAATTAATAATTTATCTAAAAGATCAGTTTTAAATTAATTTAAATGAAGATAATTTAGCAAATAAATATGATTACCTCCACACTTGTTAACTAATTCTATCATTTCCTTTAACTTATTTGGACTAAATGTAGGATTAATAACTTGTCGTTGTCGTTTCCATTCTTGACCTGAATTGAAATAATAGTTAGTTATCATTACACATAGGCAATTGTCGATATCGGTACAAAGCGTTTGGTATTAAGGTAATCCCAATATTGAAGTTTTTAATATCAATCAGGAATCACCACTGAATCGTTTTTCTCATATTTTAAATCTATTTCCGTATGAAGATAGAAGATAATTTTATTTTCTCAAATATTTTTTTCGGTTAGCGTTTACTTCACACCACGTTCAGGTCTATCTCTCTCGTCTCTCAACTTTTTGTTGAAATAAAATAATATAAGTTTTTATAATCAATATTTAGATGTTATATTTCTTTTTTTTAAACAAAAATCACACTTTATCGCTCAAAAACAACAGTTTTTGGATAGTGTTCAGCAATAGTTGATATTGTTCTTTAATGATAATGTAATTCCTAACACTGAATTCACATACCGATGGTACACTCCGTACTTTAACATCAGTATATTTAGGTGCAAGTTGCTGTAATCATAGCAAATGAGACGTATGTTTTTTGCGTATGTTCAACTGTTTCACACATGAACAGCATAAAAGAAAGCAAATATACAAAGAGTTATTGGAAGCATCAAACAAAAGTTGCGTACTGTATCGAAAATGAAGAAGTCGAATATCAAAAAGACTGTTAAACTTTAAACACAAAGAAAACTTTTAATAGAAATAGGCTGTATGATAAGTATCTTTTTCAAGTATTTGAGGATTGCTGCTTACCAGTACATGCAAGTAAATGACGAAGATCTAGTTGTTGTAAAGGTAATGGACGACGAGAATGAAAACTACTGAATTGTGTAACCATCATTTCTTGAATGAAATTTGGATCTGAAATGCATATAATTGGTGTATGTCCAATATAAAAACCAAAAATTTTTCCGTATTGTTTTGTCCACTCCGTTAAACGAAATGAGGGATATTTTGGATGCTTTAACATTTGAATAAAATTTCCGACCACAAAACTTGGTTTTGGACCATTTAAACCTATTCGCTGAAATGTTCGATAAGAGTTGAGAATTTGCTTAATATAGATTATTAAGAGAATAACAAATACAATCAGTAATATCCAACTTGTTGTTGGTACAAAAAAAGATATTAATGAACATAAATATTGATGGACCATTTCCAAGCCTAAAATCGGATAATGATTGATAAAAATGGTAGTAGCATATTTAGAGTACTGTATTAAAGCATAATTTGCTTGATAGAAAGAGCTCAAATGATCGATACAATTAACAAAAGTTTCGCTCATTTCATCTATCGTATAACACTAATGCATGTTTTGAGAAAAACTTTTCTATATCGTGAAACCAATTTACATCAAACGTTCAGGAATCGAAGTTTATAAAGAACATAACCTATAGTAAAAATATTATCCAGAAAGAAATTCTTTGTCAGAGACACACTGAGAAAAACGAGATGCATTTTTTAAAAAAAATTTAGGTGCCTCAAACGCAACTTCATTTTTGATCAGTAAGAAAATATTTTCATGTAAAAAAGACGCATCTTGATGCCCTACGAAGGCGGCTGGATTCAAGTTTTATGCACCGCACCCATAATATCTTTGTGCGGCATCGCGGATGCTTAGTCAAGACATCCTCCCATGTAAATCAGGTGCATTTTGGATGCATAAAGTAAGGCATTCCGATGTCCTTAAGGCATTGAGGATGCATTAAATACGCCGGGATGCCTTATAAAAGTGGGCTATGACTAAAAACATGCAAAAAAGAAATGAATAAGTTTATCTGAGATAAACAAAGAGGATAAAAAGAATGTTAGTTTCTCTTCTTCGATTTAGACAGATAAGACAAAAAAGGAGTAAATTGTTTGTTAGTTATGAGACTTTTCAGATATATCTCAGTATATGTATGGGGACAGCGAATGGACGATCTATCGTTTTTCGGTTCTATATAAATTTGACTAATTTATGTATTTGGTTTGAATGAATTTAACATAATTAAACAAACAAGCAACAGATTAAAATAAGATACTTACTAAGCTGAGAAGAGTAAGCTAAGAGAAAATATTCAAAGAGACAATGCGAAATGTCTACCCAGGTCAATGAATCCTATGTAGGATCCTACAAGATCCTATGGGATCCTATGGGATCCTATGGATGATAGTTTATCATAGGATTCCTATAGGAATCTTATGAATTTTCTATAAAAATCCTATCATAAGATCTTATATGAATCTTACCATAGGATCGCAACGAAAATCCTACTAGGATTCTTATTGTAGGATTCCTATACAATTCTATGAAATGCTACGATAAGATTTCATAGGATTCTTATTTTTCTCTGTTCTGTCGTCTTTTCTATTCACCGTTTTGTTTGGCAGAGAAACGGTTATAAATACGACGCTGAAAAAAATAAAAAGTCGAGTTGAATAAGTTCAATTTTTCGCACTGAACAGTGTGAACATCAATATGGAAGCTCACCCACTGTTCTTGGGTTCATCCTAGTCCTGATTCAGAGACTGGGAAAGAACCCAAAAGAGAAAAAGTAAATAAATAAAGCTAGCAGTAAATAAACAGCTGATTTAAGACTGAATATTTTGGTTTCAAATATGCCAGGATTCTTATGAAACCCTACGTAAGATCCTATAAGACCTTGCGTAGGATCTGATTGGATCCTACGACAGGAAAGTATAGGATAAATCCAAGACAAAGAAGTCTTACGCCTTTCCTACAAGATCCTATGTGGATTTGGTAGGATCCTACGTAGGATCTTGTAAGATCCTATGGTAGGATTGTTTGACCTGGGTACTGGAGCACAGATAAAAAAATCTACGGAGACTTTCGTCTATAGTAAGAATGTTGCTAAAAATCAGGAAATTTTGATAACACGAAAGAAATCTGCGAATAATGAAACTTACAGAATATAGATAATCTATCATGGAGAACTGATAAGAAATAGTTTTATATTCCCAAGAACTTTACAGCATTGCACGTTCCTATTGCGTGGAAATTCAAAATGTACAAGTATAAAGTGAAATTTAATGGAAATTGACTTTTAGGTAGGATAGTAATATACATGTATACTATACCTCATCCAATACTCTTATATTAGGTAAGGTGAAGTAAGGTCGGAAAATCTAAATAACTTTCGTCACGTTATCTCACATTGTTATCACTGTAGGCAACGTCAGGAAACTTTATAGTATGCACAATTCAAACCCGCTGGCTATCATATATTATACTTATATTTTCATTTCACCTCCAAGGATGTTTTATACGTGTGTGCAAAACTTTTGAATTTCTCGACCTTATCTAATCTAAGAGTGTTAGGTAACGTGAGAGAAGTCATTGGATTTGCTGACCTTACCTCACCTCACCTAACCTTAGAGCGTTGGGTAATGTGAGGAAAGTGAGTTGGATTTACCGACCTTACCTCGCCTTACCTAACCCTCATCTTACCGAACCTTAGAGTAGTAGGTAATTTGAGGAAAGTCATTTAGATTTCTGGACTTTACCTAACCTACGAGTGTTAGGTAATGGTGAGGATATATTTATTTATATGAGTAGCATAGCCTTACCTTACCATACGCCAGAACTAAGCCTAGACAAAATCCTAACAAAATCCTTTTCTGTCTCTGTCCTACGAGGATCTTACAAGATCCTAACATTTAGGACCAGCTAATAACTTTCTAGCATGATCCTAAAATGCTAGGATCCTACTAAGATTTCACTTAAGTTTGTTTAGGATCCTAACCGAATCTTAGAAAATCCTATGAATTTCGGATATATTTGATTTCATTAGGATTCTGTAGAATTTTGTTAGGATCCTAAGAAATTAAAACGAAATCCTAGTGGAATACTGGCAAGATATGTCTCGGATCTTGTCAGGAAACTCATAGGAATTTTATTAGGGAAGTGACATCACTTTATCTAATCCCTCTTTTTGCAAACAAATACTTTCTGAAAAAGTTCATATACAGTCTGAAACCTTTGAATTTCCAGGAAATAGGAACGTGCCCTGCACTCAAGAACTCATACTTTCCAGAAAACATTTTAGATTTATGTTGGATTGGTAGCTTTTTACACTAAACTGGCATTTATGTTTTTGATGTATTAGTGATGTTTAACAAATGTATCTAAGCTATTTTTTTCAAAAAAAGCAGCGACTATGAGGTGTTTTTTGGAAGACATGAAGGCGACTAACAGTAAAAAGATGAGAAAATGCACCTGACGTGCCATTAAAACGCACTGTAGCAGCATTTTGAATAGACATGCAACAGTTTTTTCTCGTATTTTTCAAATAATGGTTTGTATTTTCGCAACAACGAACTATGAAATTTTCTGAAATCAGCAGTTTTGTAGAGCAAACATTTCTCTACAATATGGCATATAGTAGATATTTTTAAAGTTGCTTAGTTTCTTTAAAAAGCGTTTTTGATACAATGACCCAGAAGTAACTGTCATAGTTCGTTGTTGCGAAAATACAAACCATTTTTTGAGAAACATGAAAAAAGACTGTTGCATGCCTAATTTTGAAGTCAGCCGAGTGGTTTATTAAGACACTTTTTTTTGACAGTGTATTTTGTTTAGAATCTGCAATATATCTAGACTCTGGGCGCATTTTAAATGAACATCTGGAAACACAAACTCAAAAAATGCTAAAGATTTTTGGCTTTTGTTTCCGTTCTTCTTTGTCACACGTGTGAAGTTAGAAATCTAAATATTTGTCTTTTTATATTCGAAAAAAGTGCCATTTCTGAACAAAGCAGACGAAATAAAAAGACTTGCCCGCAGTCTTTTGTGAATTCAGCTGCCTAGTTCTATTAAAAACCAACCCGATTTGTACACCTATTGCAGATTCTGAGAACAATATCCGTACAAAACGCTAATAGTACCAAACTCAAAGTACTCTAAGCTACGAATGTCCTTTGAATAGAATCGCAAATTTGAAAGGTTGACAGTATTTTAGTAATTATTAACAGCCAACATATTAAATTTAGAACATAGTGGTGATAGTTACGTTTCATCCGTCTTGTATCAACCCCGTTAGCAAGAAAATGTACTATGTACTTATGATGCATTCTAGAACTTTTCGGAGAATGTTTCTTTTCAGTCGTACACAACTATATGGGACCCTGTTTTAGAGAACAGACTTTACCCTACAAATATAGATGTTGAAGTAAAATGAATATGTATGTGGTTTGCAACAATCTTCTTTTGTGGAACGCTATGCTTTAGGACTTTTGGAAAACTCTTTTAAAACTTCCAGATGAGCACTTATAAGGTGAAAAGTGATATAGATTCTGAAAGTAGACAGTTCAGGCTACACGATGGGTATGTATATCGAAAAGTCGAGCTATGAGGAAGAATATGTCGTTTCTCTATGGACAGGTCGTTAGTGTGCTATGTGTGTCCGTTCATAGCATTAAAAATAGAATTCTTATAATCGATCCAAAGTGTTAAAAAGTTATTGTTCCTGTTTCCCTTTAAAAATATAAAATGTTGCCAGTCATTTACATATGATTTATTCTAAC